CTAACCACAAGAGAGAGATGTTTATTGGGATTTGTGTTTGTTTGGGCTCACTGCTTGCATATGAAAGGGTCACTATTCTTTTTTTTTGTGTGGTTTTATGAGACAGGGTTTCTCTGTATTGTTTTGGAGGCTGTTGGTCCAGCCCGGCCTCGAACTCACAGAGATCTGCCTGCCTCTGCTTCCCAAGTGCTGGAATTAAAGGCGTGCGCCACCACCGCCTGACGGTCACTATTCTTTTAAGGAACATACAATTCAAAGTCCTGAGAATCTATCAGTCTCAATATCTATTAAACTCATAAACTACTGAAAAACATAAAATGGCAAGGAAAAAGTTGATAAAGATGGCCTCTTAAATGTTAGAGATGCTGAACTTAGTGGACAAGGATTTTTAAGGCAGTCATACGTCTGTACTCAGAAAGTAAAAATGAATCTTTCAAGGAATGTGTCTTATGCGGATAAGAAGGTGAAGTTATAGAGAGCAAAGCTGAAAACAGAGCTCCAGGCAGGGGTGGAGAGAAGTCTGGAGGCCTGAGACAGCAGCATGTAAGCACCACAAAAGGCAGAGCAGTGCTTAGGGGGGCAGGACCTTCCAAGTCTTGCATGAGTTCCTAGCAGGGCTGAGGGGCACAGGGGCCTCCTAGGTCTTCCATGAGTTCCTAGCAGGTTCACAAAATAGTAAGCCATGAAAAAAAGGGAGACAATGTAATTATTAATATCAAGGACAACCAAAAAAAATAAATTCTAGAGAGAAATATGATTATCTGGCTAAGCCATTGACAATGTTTATATAGTCAACGAGTACGTACCAGCTTTATATTTAACAGAAAGGCAAAATCTGAAGGAGAGGAAGACAGTGGTTAAGTTCAGAGCCTCTGAGATCTATAATCATCAGCTCAGAGGAAGGCATTCTATGATATTTAAACTGAAAGTAAAACATTGTAAATTTATTCCAGTAGACTCAGTTTATTTCTAACAAGAGCAATAATTGGAAGTGGTTGCTAGTAGAAACACTTTGAATTTTTTAAGCATTATGTGGATTCACTCCAGTCATTAGGAAACTTAGATTGCATTGACTTTTTTGCCATATACTTTTTAGAAAGAATTTTAACTGGAATTTAACATTTATACCTGACACAGTTTCAGTATATAATAACTAGATTACTAGGAAGATGATTATAGCTGGTGAATCCATGATGCATAATCATTTGGAGACACTGTAATGTAGAAACTGGTCAATAAAAATCACCAAAGAAAAGCCTGAATTAGGATAAACACTGTAGAATAGAAAGCACATTCCCAGCCTGGGGTAGATCAATAAAAAACACTCAGACATTGCTGAAAATGTTACAAAGTGGAGAAAAATCCTAAATGCTAGTGTCATTGGCAATAGTGAGAAGTTGAAATGTTTACTTATAGGATAAAAGATTAAAACTACATGTGGCATATACCAATAATCCCCAAATCCAGGAAACTGAGTTCAAAGTTCAAGTTCAAAATCAACCTTTGCCTACATAGTTGGATGCTAGACAGCCTGTGATGCTGAGAACCTATCTTTAAAAAACAAACAAAAAACACACTTGAGATAGTATGTGGGGTACATTGTACCCTTCTGTAGGATCAGTCTCCCAATACAGTGTTCTGGACTATTTAAAATATAAACGTATTGAGTTGTGATGTTAGGTTAATTGTTTAACTTTCCAATAGTTGTAACAAGTTGAACAAAAATCATAGTTCCAAGAGATAGAAACACCTTGACCTAACTACTCTCATGGTAGGATTTTACTGTCTTTCTGAAAAAGATTTTACCAAGCTCCCGAGAACCAACTTTACTAAGAAACGTCAATTGATAATTAATCTAACCATTAGGCTTAAAGTATTGGTCTATGCCACAATTTCTAGTCTATTTTATACAATTAAATATTAGTTGTAAAAAATAGAAAATGTAGTCTTATTTCATAAAGTTTAATGACTGACAGAAAAATTCAACTTCCATTTATTTTTGCAAATTGTTTACTCAGAGTAGAGGATCGTGGTCCAGAGAGATGACTCACCATGTGAGGTGCCTTATCCCAGGACTAACACCCTAATTTTAATATCTGGGACCAACTCCTGTATGTTTTCCTCTAACTTTTGCATGTGTGCCCACACTCATGCACACACATCCCACATAAATAAATAAATGTAAAACATTGTGTTTTATTTATGGTAAAACCCATTTATTCATATATACATGTATCAGGAGCTGTGTATCAGAGAGAACATTCGACTTTTGTCTTCCAAGTTTGGATCACCTGGCTTTCATACTTGAAAAGAGACCAAGAGAAGGCAAAGAGAAAAATAGGTGTTTGGAAGGATGAGGGTGGACCAAGGACATATGGAGTATAAAAAGGGAAAAGGAACTTAAGTATAGGAAAGTTATAATAGGAACTTAGGGGAAGAAATGGGGAAGAGAAACATTGAAACACATTCAGAGGTGCATAATGATATCTCATCCCTTGTATACCATTTTTAAGAATTAAAAATACATTTAAATATCTAGAGAAAGTACACGATCAACATTCTTTCACACTGAGACATTAGGAACATCCTGATGCTGGAATTTGAATGAAATGACCAGGAGCTGTGCACCCATGCTTCTGAAGGGTCAAGATGCCAACTTGTACTCCGTACTATTAACTAAGATTGGGGTTTACTCACCTTAGTAGACATAGGAATTTTAGGAGACTAAGCCAATGGGTAATAATGTGTTCATATGGGTTACTTTTACTAGCTAGTAAATTCCTCTCCTTCATTACTAGAGAGGTAATTCTGGAGCCCATAACTCACCAGTCCTGGGCAGGTCCAGGGCATAGTATCCTGACAGAGCCAGAGGCAGTGGTAATGCTCATAGTGTGGGTGGTAGAAAATGTTCCTTTAGATAGAGAAGTTAGTAAAGCCCATGGTGAGCTGGGTACAATAGTGGCCTATTTAATTCCAACACTCACAAGGACCTCTGAGTTCAGGATCAACCTAGACTGCAGAGTAGGCTAGCCAGGCTCCACAATGATGTCTTTAAAAGAAATATATATATATATCAACATATATATATATGTGTGTATATATATATATATATATATACACACATACACCATTCTGCTAACTAAATAAGCTCTAAACCATCTCTGAATGACCAGACTATAGAAAGGACTTTTTTTTTTGCTTATTATAACAAGTAGTTTTGAAAATCTGGTACTAGATGTTTAGCTCTCTGTCTTTCTTACTTTTATTACATTCCTGGATATTGCATTTGTAATCTGACATTTTAGAGAGTATTATAGAGAATATTGTGTTAGATATGGATAAGCCATTGATTTACTGGGGAACCTATTAGAGAAACATATTTCACCTGTTCCCTTGTTGTCAGGAATAACATTCTTGATGCCTATAGAGTTTTTTCCATGTATGCACATACCATTTTTTCATCTAAGAAAATAAAAATGTGTTTATATGCTGTCTCCTTGTTCTCTCTGTATATGTCCAGAGAAATGGATATGTATCTCGTATCTCCACCCTGACTGAATGCATCAAAGACTGTAATGGAAAATTTTTATTTGAAAAAATGATGTTAAACATTTATCTGACACCCTAACAGTTTTCAGGGGAAAGTGTGTTCACCGTGAAAACTGTTAAGTTTCTTTTGGGGGGAAATATATCATTTTTTCAACCCCCTCCTAAGGTTTCTTCTTAAATGGCTCACAGTTAAATTTAAATTTCTATATTTAGATAGGATTCTGTTTATATACCAACTACCAGTATCCAGGAAATCCAGTGGGAAAGCCGACACAGGAGGAGTTGAGAGTCTTTCTATAGTCTGCTCATTCAGAGATGGTTTAGAGCTTATTTAGTTAGCAGAATGGTTTAAACATTCAAACAGAGGTCCTTCAGCACAAATGCACCATTTACTTTCAGATGACGAAGATGGCAGTGTGACAGTCAGGAGTGTGTGTTGCTGTTTTACTCCATTCAAAGAAAGGCATATGGTGGGGATGGGGGAGAGCAGCTTTCATATGTAAATATGTTTATAATACTTAAGATGGGGGAGTTGGCTTTGTGCAATCAGCACGGTTTGATCAAATTTGGAAGAATTTACAGGCACATTTTTCTCACATGTGCTCTAGCATCTTGATTTTTTTCAGATGGACCTATTTTATGTTCCTTCCAACTAATCAAAATAAGAAACTGAGTTTGCCTTTGCCAAAAACGAGAACTATCATTTTTCACATTCTTTTATTTTCCAGGTCATTTTCAAGTAAGATTATGTTTCTAGGGCTTCTGAATTCCTGCAAGCTCTCGGCTTTGCAGCTCTGAAGGCCCAGATGGACATTCAGGGGATCTAGCTTTCCAGGCCGTGTGCTTTGCCTTGTGCATCCCAGATACAGTTCACTTTTGTGTGCATGTAATTAGTGTGGAAAGAAATTAATGCCGTCCAGTATTATGATTTATGGACTGAATCCTTTAGCCACTGAAGACTTGCCAAAGCGAAAGTATTTTTTTTCCTTTGGATATTAGAAACAGCTTCTGTTTTTGTTGATCTTTAAAGTCCTGAATGGGGCTATTTCACATCATACCAGCATGGGAGCTCAGATTAATAATATACTTATTCAACTAGTGATACTGAGTGAAACCATTGCACACACGGGTAGGAAGGATAAAATTTCATAAAATTATTTTCAGGTGTATTAATGTATTTCTGGAAGCTGCATATGATTTTTCTTTTGCATGAAGGAGATCAAGGATTTCTGTTTATTGTATCTATTACAGGTGGGCTCATAAGCTAATTTAATTGCATTTTTTTTGATATCTTAAAGCACAGGGAGTTTTGCTTTAAAAAGCAATAACATGATTGCTGGTTTATTCCCCAAGGTCTTTACTGTAGTAGATTTATCTCTCTCGAGACATTGTGATTGTATTATGTGTAATTTATATTTCTGAGACAATTTCCTGCATTTCCTTTGTTGTAGTTACAGCAAGCTGCAGAAGTCTCTCAGCTACGGGGAGCAAGGGTGATCTCTGCTGAAGATCTTCTCTTCTTGATGAGAAAAGATAAGGTACTATAAAACAATCCCTTTCTATCAAACATAAGCCTGATGTGTAATTGTACTTGCATAAGGAAACGATGGACCCTTGTTACAGCTTTCAAATATCCAAGAATCATAACAACTGAAGCAGTTAAGCTTTCACAATTTACACAACAAAATTCATTTACTACAAAAGTTATTTGCTGTTTACATGAGCAGATCTCTGATGCCAAAACTGCACTACAGTTCATCTTTCTCCTCCTTATACTTGTTCAGATATTTTCACTGCTGTCTCACATCCCTAGGTACCAACTAAACTCTGTTCTTGCACATGGGGGTCTCTCTGAGGAGCACATTTCTTTTTCTTCTCAGTTTGTACCTTAGTGCTGATAGAATTCAGATTTTGACAGAATTGGTTTTAACTTGAAATACGAAGTTTATTTTCTGCACTGACTTATAAAATATTAATGCAAGTTGCTTAAAAACTGCTATCATTTCAATTTTTAATTAAAAACTCTTACCAGATATTTGTATGTCTATTTTTGTCATAATTTTCTGTAAGCAGCTAGTTATTACTTTACCTGTTGTAATCAGCCATATGTTTATTAATATGAAGAATATGTAAAGAAAAAGAAATGCATTCAGTATCAAAAAGCTTGGAGCCTGCTTTAGGCAATCTATGCGATATGCTGGAAGTATTTAAAACTTGGTTGTATGGTTAGATAGGGAAAGAGTTGGTGTAGTGAAGAGTTGTGACAAAGGGACAAAGGTGAGACTCCTGAGGCCTTCTAGACCATAGACCAAAGTCCAGGAACCTGACAGGATAACTAGTTCCTATGGTGGCTCTGGGCATGGCTGAGAAAAGGCGCTTTATGAAGAATTGCCAGTTTGTTTTGGACTTGGAGTGTACTTAAGGATAAGCAGTTATCAGCACCCACTGTGGTGCTGAGTCCAGGAAGTCCTGAAGGCTGCTGACAGCAATAAGGCCCTTAGCAAAGGTTCCTGTGGGAGCAGCCAGGAAACACAGTGGGCTTGCTCTGCCCAGCATGTCTTGTCCCTGGTGTTTCCTTTCCACTGACAGATGTAAAGAGAGAAACACACAGTCCACACTGGCACTCCTTCCCCTTGTTAGGAAGGTGGCCATTTTACCCTATAGAAACTCCGGGAATATGTGCCACTTGATGGTGCTTTGCTGGGGTCCAGGATATTTTGAAAAACCAACAACATATTCATAGCAGAATAGTCATTCATTTTCTCATCTTTCTCAAGTAATTTATATTCTGAAGTGTTCCAAAAAGAATGTAAGGTAGCTTATGTAGGGATAATACTCAATAGAATAAAACTAAAATAGTGGGTAGAGTGAAAGCAAAGAGAAAAGGAAAACCATGAAAAACAAGAGCACTTCAGAGTGCAATGTGACTTTTCTTTAGTAGTTGGAGTTGGTAGACAAGCATTTTCTACCACTGATGTGCTTTACATACTATGGGATGTAGTCTCTCATGATTCCTGTGCAGCAGGCATATGAGATCGGGACTTTCTTTAACTTGCACATGACAGAATTAGACTCAGAGGTTGTCCTCTACTTCAGGCCCTGCTGAACTTCAGTCGTCAGTCTGAGTTTAAATCAGGGTCCCTCGATAAAAAGAGCTGGTTAGATTTGTCCCTACTTTAGGGAGATTGAAAACGTTGAGTGATGCTCATGGTAAAGAGCCCTGTACAGTGCACTGTTTCCACCCTTAGAAATCTGAAGCCTGGAGATTGTGAAACAGAACCAGTGCTGTCTAGGGGTAGCTCAGAATCTGCTGCAAGGCATTATTAATTGAAGATTGTGAACCAGATGCAATACATTCTAGGGTTAGCACAATATACGATGCAAGGCATTATAAGTTGCTTACAGTTAAGCGCTATTACCATCTTCTTCTAAATCCTCAGAAGGCCGTCTGTCTTTAAGACCTACCAATCATTCACGGGCTTTGAGGTTCCTGAAGACAGATTTCTCAGCTTATAGATACTTTCCATATATAAGAATTCTCAGGCCAGGTGTGCTAGCACATTCCTGTTATTTTAGACCTAGGTAGACTGAAGCAAGATCACAAGTTCAAGTTCAGCCTGGGCTACACAACAAGGTTTTATCTCAAAACTTTATAAATATAAAGATAAGTTGTTAAAAACTCCTAGTCTAGATGTTTATAAATCTATCTTACATATTTTTTGTCTTAGAGTATATACAAAATTTCAAAGCGTAAGTATACTTGGCTTACCAAAGGCAATATGGTATTTATTGAAATCATCAAAAGGAATTTAAGATGTTTTCTAAAATATACAAAAAGTATTATTGTGATTCTGGAATGTCTGGATGGATCCATGTGAAAACGCCCTTATAAACACTTAAATTTTAGCTAGTATTGAAGGGCTACGTGTTTTTTCTCATACTATTAAGCTAATGATAGTTATATTTTGCCAATGATCATCAGGTACTGCTTTATTAAATTTAATTCTTAAAGCAATCTTTTATCAGTAAAGCAATGTGTTATAAGCTTCTTACTTTATATTGCAATAGAAAAAACTTAGAAGACTTCTAAAATACATGTTTATCCGAGACTACAAATCCAAGATCATCAAAGGAATTGACGAGGATGACCTCCTGGAAGGTGAGTAGACCAAACCTAACCCAAAGGCTCAGCTTGGGCAACCGGACGCATCAGGGAGTTCTTCCCATGTGCTTCTTTTCCTTAACACTCCATCACTTGTTGGCAGTTTAACCTCGTTATTTTCTCTTCTGGAACCTCAAAGGGCTCAAGTACCTCAGTTCCTTCATCTCAGTACAGTACCACAGTTCCGCACAGAGAGAGGCAGACGGAGAACTAAGAACCCTGCAAGCCCCCTAAGAAGGTTATTGGGAGCAGAGCATGTGGAAGTTGATGGCTAGGACCTCTCTGTGGAAATCCTGGCAGCAAATTGAAGGCTAGGAGATCCACAGCACAGCAAAAGGATCAACATTAGCATGCTAAAATGTAGAGATTTTATTCCCAGGGGTGTTATCAGAAGGAGTACCTCAGGAATTAAGAACACTTACTGCTATTTCAGAGGAGCTGAGTTTGGTCCGTGTCAGGCAACTCACCACCACCTGTAACTCCAGTCCAGGGAATTGAAAGCCCAGGCCTCTGAGGGCACCAGAACTCACAAGCACATACACACATGCTCATACACACACACCTACACGGCATTTAACATTGTAAGAACAAACATTTAAAAACAAAGCATCAGCACCCAGCTTGTGGTTACTGGGACTTAGCTGTTATATGTGGTACTCAATTAGACCAGCCTGAAGCTTCATAGAGAGCTTGAAAAGTGGCAGTCAAAGGTGCTGTAGAGCTGGTGATGGAAGAGAATGCACATAGAAGTCTGCTCCGTGGAGGGGTAGGAGACATCAGAGGCAGCACACTATGAAGAAATCTGTCACTAGTCTAGCCAACTCACCAAAATGAAGAAGCTATGAAGGACAAGTCCACCAAATGGAAGAAATGGTTGCCTGAGTTACTGTTGTATATCATCTAAAATGACCATTTTCTATAACAACAAAGCATAAGATGTGTAAAGACACAGATAGATATGATCTATGTTGGAAAAAAAGAAAAACAAGAAAAGTAGATAACAAAATTTGCCTTCTGGGAATCCAGGTGTTGGATTTAGCAAGCAAAGTAATCCAAAGGAACTATCATAGTGTGTCAAATAAATAAAGGAAATTGTATTCGGAGAAGAACAGCAAAGTATGAAAGCCATGCCTCACAAAATATACAGTGTCAATGAAGAGATTAAATTTAAGATATATAATAATGGAGTTTAAATGTAAATACATTTAAGCTATCTCACATATCACCAAGCATGATGACCTGAGCTCAACCACATGATGGACGGAGAGAACAAGTTCCTGGCAGTTAATCCTCCTAAAAAAAGGTGCCATGGCATGCACACATACACCCATATACAAAATTAATTAATTACTAAAGAACAATAAGGAAGATGGAAGCTAGGACAATAGAAGCTTTGAACTGGCAGAAGAAAGAACCAATGAGCTTGTATTAAAGATCATATAATCTAAAGAACCATGAAAACTAAGAAAGTTGGCATAGCTTCAGAGACATGCAGGGCACTATCAAGTACATCAGCATAATGTATCAAGAGGAGTATACAGTACACGAATACATCAGCATGTACTATGCCAGAAGAGAAGTATACAGTACACTAATACATCATCATGTACTATATCAAAAGAGAAAGTATATAGTACAGTAATACATCAGCATGTGCTATATCAGAAGAGAAGGCGTATACAGTACAGGAATACATCAGCGTGTGCTATATCAGAAGGAGTATACAGTACACTAAAACATCAGCATGTGCTATATCAGAAGAGAAGGAGTATACAGTACAGGAATATATCAGCAAGTATATAAATAAACAAACTCCATTAAGATAAACTAAATCATCTATACTGACACATAGTTTAGTAAAGTCAGAGCTAATCATGAAAGACATAAGAGAGGGTATCTGGAGGCCTTTGGGAAGTTGTTAGACCACAGAGGGAGAACCCTTATGGATGGGATCAGTGTACTTCTAAACAGACACACTCAGAACTCCCATCCTATCTGTTAAAAAGATGCCTTCACCAGATACCAGGTCTGCCTGGACCTAGGATACCACAGCCTGTAGAAATCTGGTAAATGATTGTTTGTTGTTTAAACTTCCTAGCCACAGTGGATTTTAGAGCAGCTTCTACTGACCAAGAAAACACAGAAGGAAACAGCGTACTTACCATAAAAGGCTGGATTCTTTCCTCCCTAGCATCAAGAATAAGACAAGAATATGCACTTGTTCCTCTTCTGTGCAATATTGTACAAAGGTTTTAGCGTGATATTTAGGCAGAAAAAGAAATGAAAGCACCCAGATTAAACACATAAAGCTATGCATGTATCTGGCATGTTCTTTATATAGAAACATATATTTGGGGGGGCGTTGAGACAGAGTTTCTCTGTATTGTTTTGGAGGTTGTCCTGGAACTCACTCTGTAGACTAGACTGACCTCAAATTCACAGAGATTTGCCTGTCTCTGCCTCCCCAATGCTGGGATTAAAGGTGTGTGCCACCAACGCCCCGCTAGAAACATATCTTAACCCACTAAAAACTGTTGCAATTGGTGGACACATTCAGGAATTTTCAGGATACAAGATAAATATGTAAACAAAACAAATGGGTACACATTCCTTATACTCAGAACAAACAATTCAAGGTCATATGAAGAAATAAATACCACGTATAATAGCATCACAAAAATAAACTATATTGGTATAAATTTCACCAGTGACCTGCAAGATTTCTACATAGAAACTGGAACTCACTGTTGAGAGAAAGAAAACCAAGAAGAAATAAAAAAGTAGCAGTGTTCATGGCTAGAACACTTAGGATTTTTAAGGCAATGGCCATCCTTAGCTGGTGCTATAGATCGAGTATCACACCAGCTTTTGATGAAATGAACAGACTGATTCTGTCATTTGTGTGGAAATGTCAGATTCTAGAGAGGAAAAGATCCATTTTCCAATTTGTACATGACCCAGAATAGTCAAAACCATCTCAACAAGTAGCAAAGTTGGAGGAGTCAAGCTTACAGAGTTCTCAACTGTGCTGTAAATCTGTCACAGTCCAAACAGGATACATGCTGGGCTACAGATGATCAGAACTGAGAACACACATGAGACTCAGAGAAAGACTCAGTGAGACTTGACAGCTTGCAGAACAATGCCGTGTGGAATTAATAGCTCCTTCAACTAGAGACATTGAGGCATCTGTGACATATAGATCTACATAGAAAAGAAATAATTTGATCCCATAATGATGCAGTATGCTCCCCCCAAAACAAACAAAAAATGAAAAACCTAGGTACAAATCATTGAGAGCTCACTATAATAGCTCAAAATACAAAATTCTTTTTTCATTTTCATTATACATTTACTTGTTTTATGTAAGCATGTATAGGGTATATATTCCATGATGAGTGTACACAGGTCAGAATTCATTTTGCAGGAATCGTTCTCTTCCTCCAGAAGCATCTGGAGGTCTATGAAAATGAAAGTTTTCAAAAGAAAAACAGGAATAACTGTTGGTAGCCTTGTACAAGGACAGTATTTTGAATGCATGACACCAAAAGCATAGCAGCAAAATAAACCACTATTGAATTAGAATTGATCAAGTGTAAGGCCTTCAAAGTGCTTCAGAGAATATGCAAAAGAAAAAACAGAATGAAAAAGTCATATGTGTGTGTGTGTGTGTGTGTGTGTGTTTATAAACATATACATTGAACTCTTCAATTCCATAATAGAGACAATAAATCAGTTTGGAAATGGGCAAAGACCTGAGGCTAACCTTGTAGCAAAAGTAAAGCAATAGCTAATAGATGCTAGAAAAGATGGCCATTGTCCTGAGCCATAGTGCAAATGCAAATCCTCAATAATAGGCTGCTCCTCACCTGCCAGGATGTCTGTGACTGGACAGACAGATGAAGGCAAAAGCTGTTCAGGCTGTGTAGCACTTTAGCTTGTGATGCTGGGGGAGGGTAAAATGTTGCAGACAGTTTAGAAAACATCCCAGAAGCTTCTCAAAAAGATTAACAAAGTAAAACCAGCTATTCAACACCCAGTAAAGATAAATGAAGAGAAATGTCCACATAAAAAAATTTCATATGAACCTGAAAAGCAGTATCTTTTACAATAGAAAACTAGCATCAGCTCCATATCTGCCAACATATAAAGACATAAATACAGAATATTAATGTAGGACATATTTAGGGCAATAAAGTAGAATCGAAACTGGCATGCTCATAAGTGAATGAAGTAGTGATATAGCCCAGGTTGTCAAGTAGCGACAGAGGGAAAACAGCCTGGAGTGGTTGCCCAGAACTGGAAACCGGGTTGCACTAGGAAGTCATCTAAAATAGCCCATCAAACCTCTTAAGGTTATAGTAGGACATTTTCTTCTGCAAAGGTTCCTATGTTCCTAGACTGAACAATCAAGATACAATCAAAAGGAAAATCATGCCCTCGCACGTGCATACCAACAGAAATATCATAATGCTTTAAGTAGCTATATGATTTTGTATGGACGTCACTTCTACAATCCTCCAACGTTGATTTCGTTAGTTTCTGGCTTCACTTGGTATCTGTTGTCTAAATGGTTAGCTGCTGTATGAAGATCTGTGTCCAGACTGTACCCTGAAAAGTTAGTATGTGGGTTTATTAACAATACCTTGGTTAGAGCTACATAATTTAGGCAAGGGTTGGCCTAAAATTTACTTCTATCTTTATTGAAGGGTAAAAAGATACTTTAAATTAACAGGCACATAATTACAAATTTTTAAAATTATTTTTTTCATTTTAAGCATATTTTCTCTAAACATTCATTAGCATATTTATAGCAGATAGCAGATACTCAGTACTTATATATGACAGTATTTGAGACATTTTTATTTGGTATGTATAACCATCATTTGACAAATGAAAAATTCTTTAGTTCTTTCTCACTCCCTAAGTCTCACTGATAACTGTATTCATTAATCTGTATTAATCACCAACTGCAATATTTAATGACTTCTTTGCAGTAACTTTCTGACTTATATTTTGCTTTTAACCTAGCTAGGGGTGTAGCTCAGGTGTAGAGCTCATGTTACCATGCCAGGGCCCTTAACTTGTTTCCCCCAGCTTAATACAACTATGTAAATACATTAATAAATACAATGATAGTTTTGTGTGTGTGTGTGTGTGTGTGTGTGTGTGTGTGTGTGTGTGTGTGTGTGTGTGTGTGTGTGTGTGTGTGTGTAGTACAGGCCCCTACATGCCATGGCACATACATGGCAGTCAGAAGGCAGCTTTGGGTATCAGTTCTTTGATTTTACCTCAGCTTGTCCACTGTTACATGTGCTCAACTAGCTGTTCTATGAGTTTCTGGATTATCCTGTCTCAACCACACATCTCCTGGTAGAGCACTACGATTACAGATGTTCACAGTACTGCTTCCAGCTTTCATGTAGATTCTGGGGGTTCAAACCTACAGGCTTGCATGACTAGCACCTCACCCACAGAGCTGTATCCCCAGCTCCAATAGTATTGTCTTAAGAGAAAATAATATGACTGTGTCTCAAAGGAATGCAGCAGAGAGTAGTAGGGGAGGACAGTCAATGCCTTTTTACATACATTCACGTGTGTACATAATGCACCACTTACACATGCAATACACACCCCAAAAAGGAAAAGAAAACAGGACTTTAATAATGAAAATACAAAGGGAAAAAAGTAAACAATAAAATGGAAAAATATACTAAAATTTCAAATTAACAGAGAAAAAAATGGAAGGTCTATCAACATAGATGAATTAATGTAAAAAAAAAATAAAGATCCCAAATGTCAACAAAAAATAAATTGGATTCCAAAATGCTGTGTTCAATAAGTGTTTCATGAATAAATATAAAAATGTGAAGAAAACAAAAGATAATATTAGCACTTTACTCAGAATTTTGTGTTAAAACACTACCAAGAATAAAGAAGATTATAGAAGGCATACTGTTTAGCGCAGTGGCTTTCAATCTCTGGGTCATGACCCCCATGGGGGTCAAACCTCCCTTTCACAAGGGTCACATATCAGATATTATAATTTATAACAGTAGCAAAATTACAGTTATGAAGTATCACTAAAAACAATTTTATGGTTTGGGGTCACCACAACATGAGGAACTATTAATGGGTTGCAGCATTAGGAATGTTGAGAACCACTGGTTTAGTGTAACACACCTGGAGTGACTAAATATTAACCAGCAAAATATCAGATTATGTGTGCTTAGATCTTATTTTCTTGGAGTGTCAACAGTCATTTTTGTTTTTTCACTATGTCCACAGAATACTTTTAAAAAAAGTGAAATTGGGCAGAAAGTTCACTTTTACAATTGAAATAACAGTAGATACCTGATAGGGTTCAGTTCACTAATCTTTAATTGTACATGGATAATAACCCTCATCTCAGCTACCGAGGAATCATGTTACTAAATAGTTGGGGATCAACATGAGCATTCCAACAATGTGATGAGCATCATGTTGCTTTGCAGTCATCTGTAGGACTCAAGGAAAATAGTCCCTGGAATTAAATGGAGAGCATCTTGTTAACATGGACTATAGGAACAGATAACAAGGAAGGACAATGGAATTGAAACATTAAATATATCAGTTCAACCAAATAATGAATTCATGCTGCTTTAGGTATAATTCCAATAATGTTTTCTTGGGGTTATACAAAAAAATTATAGCTTTCCTATGGAGCAGGAAACGCCCATATTGTCTTGGGAAAGTATGTAATAGAAGAGTAAGTGTATATATGAATCCTGTGGTGTCACTGGAGACTTTGTATATGGAAAATTGACACATGCCTAGGAACTGAATCTGAGGCACAGAAATTTGAGGTATGACAAAATTTCAACGTAACAGGAAAACGTATTAGTGGTGCTGTACAAATATTTTAAAGACGCTAAAGGTGAACATATATTATTATTTATAAATAAAATAAATTCTAGATGCATAAAGACAAAACATGAAGGAAACAGTAAATCTGAAAATAAACTTGAAACTTCACACTGTGGAAGTAGAGAGAAATGAAAAGTTAAAATATATATATAAAAATTTTAGACTACACTGTAGCAAAAAATGTTCTCCAGCGGACAGGCAGATAACAACAAGGACAATAGGAAAGAGTCCTTGTTATCATAGATAAACACAGATGGAAAACAGGCTCCTTGGGGTAACAAACATGAGAAGATGCTGAAATCCCTGGTGACTACGGAGCTAACTTGACAGTACTTCCCTCTAGATGCACCAGGCGTTTGCTGGAGTTCTGGGAAGAAATGTAGAAGAAACAGCGTCAGAACTGCTTTCATGAAACTTGAAGTGTCTGTAACATTTCCACTCTTAGCAATGAAGACAAAGCACTGTTAGGAATGAGATACCTCTTCAGCATTTCCCCAGTGCAAAAACTAACACAAAGTGTCTTCCCATCAACAGAGGATGGATTGAAAGCCATGTTAGTAGATATATTGGATATAGATGGCTATGCAGGCCTTACAGAAGAATCGGGCTTATCCATGAAGATGGAGAAATCTTTCTCTGTCTTCAACTAGGAAACATGAAGAGAAGAGAGGATAAAAGAACCTCTCTTCATAAAGGAAGACTGTAAGAGCCTATTTTTAAAGAAAGCACATGTTTTAAGAAATATATTGTGAATGTATGAGCACAGAGAAATGTATGGTGGTCACATACAGGATGGCCACTGTGAGTTGTGTCTGGGGATTGGTGGATAACATAAAGAGGAGGGAGGGAGAGGGAGGAAAAAAGGTGGGGGGACATAGGAGAAAGTATTACATGTAATATTATTGAGTGTTTGCCTTTCTGTCCGTTTTTCTCCCCTTGGTTCTCGGGATTGGACACAGGACCTTGCACAGCTGCATCTCAGCCCTTGCTGTGAATATATATAGTCTTTAAGGTTTTCATTTTAGAAGAAGAGGACTTGAAAAAATAGACTCCCTTGTTTCTGTAGGTGCTACTGTAAGTGCTGAAGCACTGGTGTTTTTCATGGCCTTAACATAAATTGTCAAATTTTGAAAGCAAGGCATTCATATATCTTTCATTAATTATACTTCTTAGTAGGTTTCTTTTGTTTCTGTTATCTTGATTCTGTAAATGAGTATGCTTGTTAGTCTTCCTTTTTCATTAGACAATATTCTATGCTGTCTCATGTACACTTTTGGTCATGAACTGTGTTTTCTAACATTATTAGTTGTGAGTTCTGCCTTATGTTTACCTAGCATACCCCCATTCCTGATTGTGTTATTTCTCTTGTAAGTACTATGGAACAGTACCCCTCTCCCTTTTATACGGGATTCAGTCAACCCTTTTACATTTACTATGATAATTAATAATGTAATTAGATTCTATCTGTTTTTTATTTTGTGATAGTGGTAAGTAATTGACTTCTGTATGACTTGTTTTAGAGGCAAGAGTTTTCTCTGTAAAGGTGATTGAGTGAATGTCACATGTTGTGTTTGCTATACTTTCTGGTTGATGATAATGCACCCTTCTCAGGATATTTTTTTTTTCTCTTTTCTAATCTTCATGAAGAAAAACTGAGTGGCAGCAGTAGTACAAACAAGAGACAGAAAATCGCTCAGGATTTGATCAACTCTATTGACCAGACAGGAGAGCTTCTGGCAATGTTTGAGGACAATGAACTTGATGACGTTAAACAGGAAAGGATGGAGGTATGGCACGTCGTGTGTTTCATAGCAGTAGACTGGCCAGCATAGTGCCTGTGATCTCAGCTTTTTGTCCAGGAGCCTTGACTGTCGCCTGACATGTCCAGATCAGTGGGCAGCGCACTCAAGAGCCAGCCCTAGGAAGGCAAGCTTTGCCTCCACACTCAACTTTGAGAAACATCTTGAGTTTTGATTCTCTATTTTCTCCTTGGGAAGTGGCGAACATTCGCTTCTCTGGATCTGACATTTGCTGTTGCATTTTATTCCATTTAGGCTACTTTAGATTAAATATTTACTTAACTTTTTTTTCCAAATCATCCAGTTGCCTGCGGGGCAAAGGTAATTCCTGGCGCTTTTGTTTTGGCGCACAGAGTGAAGAGCTGCCTTTCAGATTGCTGTTGGCAGCTGTGGTTGACCTCACTGGCTAAGGTGGTGTCCAGGGAAGCTACATGCTTTATATCACTGTCACGGAAAGCAAGTGACATATTTGCATTACCTACACATGTTTTCACAATGAATATAAAAATTGTATGTCTTCTATTTACCTTAGCTATCTGTACTTTAAATCACTGCTTCTTTAAATACACTCCAGGAAAAAAGAAAGTAATGATTGATTTCATTTGAGTGCCTTCCAAAACACACGGTAGTATTCTTAGTTCTCACTACGGCTATTATGCTTTTATATTCAAAAAGGAATCTCAGTTTCCCTCTTCTCCTTAAATTGAGCAAGAGAGGTAATTCCAGAATTCCAAGGGAGTTTCTAAATGCCTATTTCATTGTGGTCTCTATGCATGCTTAAAGTGGAATTATTTCCTGTTGAGTTCTGGTGGAAACCCAGTTGACATCCATGCATTGTAAATTTAAGAACCTTCTTTTAAGAATTAGCATGCCTAGATCCTGGGCTGTGATCTGAAGGCAGTATCCTCTTAGGTATCAATTACCTTAGGAAAGTGTGGCTATCTTGCTTTGAGGCAACTACAAATGGTTTTACTTCAACTTTGCCTCGGGCCAAAAATATGCTAAGTTGTCTAAAACAGATGATAAACACATATTTCTGATGTCATTATGGCCTCAACAGGATATGATTTTTGTAGGGAATGGTTTCACTTATGATCTGTTGCTTAGCGAGCAAAGTGTTTGTCCTTTAGCTTCTAATATTTCGTATCATGAGGTGAGCATGTAGAGCGCCAGGAAAGGAGGACTCTAGCAAAATTATATGTAAAGTTGAACACCTGACTTTTCAATTTCTTTGGGACAAGTAAATTGCTTGACGGTCATTCCACAGTTAAGGGATGGAGTCGGGATGGAACATTTTGTAATACTTGGTTCCTAATTACAGAGTAGAGTTGGAAGGTTGTTGACTCAGTAAAGTCAATCAAGTCTCCAGAAGCAGAAACAACTCTAGCCCTCAGACACCTGAACCACTTTCCTGTCTTGTACTATACACTGTGCAGTGTTAACCAGGATAACAAAATAGCAGCAAACTCAGTAAGGACACCTACTATAGAAGTCAGCCTTATCTAGACAACAAGCCTAAAATTGATGGTTTCTTTAAGCCTGCGACATACTAGAATCTTCTCCTGCCAAGATGACAAGTAGTTTCCATATTTTACTCATCCAAATGACATAGCTGAACTGAATAAAAAATGATAGACTTGTAGACATAACTGTAGACAGTAGAAGTAGAAAGTGGAACCATTAAGAGCAGAGGCCTTGCCTGCTTCTAATTTGACAGGTTATAGTTTCAAGAGTAAACCGCAGCTGTGGCAGTCCATATGAAACCACTTTGGACTCGAAGACTGCAATCTCTTGCCTTTAAAGCACAGTAGAATAATCAGCCCCACCATCATTCCATGATTTAATTTTCCTCTAAGCGTCACTTATGCCTGCAGAAGCAGTGTGCTACCTTCTCTCCTGTAACAGAGGGAATGGTGTAGACCCACCAATGGAGCTGCATGGGCTCTCCCTCTCTCTCTCTCTCTCTCTCTCTCTCTCTCTCTCTCTCTCTCTCTCTCTCTCTCTCTCTCTCTCTCTCTCTCTCTCTCTCTCCCCTCCTCTCTCTTCCCCCCTCTTTCTCCCTCCCTCCCCCCCTTCTCTCTCTGCACCTCCCCCTCTCCCTCCCTCTCTCTCCCTGTCACCTTCTCTCTCAGCTCTCTTGTAAAGGCAGTTTTGAAGAACAAGCTTTTACAAACATGAAGACTTGGGACCCTAGCTCTGAAAACATCTAGTGGGTTTGTGAAAAGCATGTTATTTGCTGTAGTTTTGAGCTGATGTGTGTGCCCGGCTTTGTGTTTCCTTGGAAACTACTTCATTGCTGTTAAGTGTTTAGGGGCTAGAAATATGAAAACTATCTGAAATTTTACATCCATTTACATTTATGGTTCACCTTCATGGTAGTCAATTATATCAATCTGTTCTCCAGCACTAAATTTCCAACATTTGGCTATCTCTGTAGCAGAGGTCCATGGCTATGATCTGTGAAGTTCCCGCTAATGAATGAATGAATGAATAGAAATACCTACTCCTCTGAATTATTTTAGTGTATTTAAGAGACATGAAACATGAAAGAGAGAAATAGGAGGCATAGGCATCCACATGAATACAGCCCACTTCTAAACGAGGCAGATGTGTTTTAATGTTAATAACGGTTTCTATGTTGAGTCTTTTTTCATTCTAGTCAGCTTGGTATGGCTAAGTAAACCAGAAGCTAGGGAAGAATCCCTAAAATCTGGAGATAGATTTGGTTTCTCTTAGCAAAAAGCCCTCTGACAGGAGGGCCCTGCATGAGGAGGAGTGTGAGAAGCTCGAGTTTGTCATTGATTAAAGTCAACCATTCTGTCCAAGGTGGTGAAGTGCCTGTAAACACAATTGCTTGAAAACTCAGGTGAGCACTGCCTCTAGTCCAATCTACAAATAAGCAAGGTCCAAAGGAGAGCTGTGAGTAGAGATTGCCATAGAGAATGCACTACAACTGTGTGGGTGCAGAATATCCCTAGTGACTGTTTATTTCTGCTGTAATCCAATGGAATTGAGTTAGAAATCAGGATGGCATGCACATAAGGCAGCTTTAAAGTTTTGTTTTAAATAAGCTTTAAATTGAATAAGTTCTCAGGTGGCCCCTAATTTCCTTCACAAGAAATGAACTGCCCATAGGGTTTACAGAGCACAGTGTCTCCTGAAGGCAGAATGATAAGAAACATCACCTGTGTTAGGCAGCCAATTCTTGGAAGTCCAGTTCTAGTTTTCAAGAGCTCTTCGTCCAGACAGTAGTTTCTGGAGACAAGACAACTGGAAACCTCCCTAGGAGCCAGAGACAGCTCAGAAGCTCTCTGTCTTCTATTTGCAAACTGTGTTCCACTAGTCCCCAGCGTGCTTTCTTTTATATATAAAGGAAAATAAATTCCTATAAAGCTGAGTTGGTGAACACCTCCAATAAAATCTAACAAAAGAGAGAAAGGATTGGTGTAACTAAGGCAAGCATTTATAAAGACAATTAAACCCCCAGTCCCAATTAAAAACAATTTTTAAAAAACTGTTCACTACATGCCTAAAATGCCAATGGATTTGGGTTGGGAAATGAAGATAGGTGTGAGGGTTATGACTCCATGGTCGACCGTTTGCATATATCAAGGCCTTGGGTTCAGTCTTCAGAATGGCAGGGAGAAAGAGGGGTGTGTGTGTGTGTGTGTGTGTGTGTGTGTGTGTGTATGTATGTATAGCCTCAAAAGTTATATTTCTCATCTATAAGTATAAATGCATAAATTTATTTATGCAAATATATGTATTATGTTTATATCTATTTGTTATATTTGTAGGACTGGAAATATATTTTACTTGATTTTTTAAAGGTAAAAGAAGTATCTTAAGTATATGAAACAGATCCAGTAGCTAGAGATAATAATGTTAGCATTGTAGAAAAGAAAATTGAAGGAGAAAACCTTCAAAATGGACCAATGAGGCTGTAATGAAAATGCAGTGTGTAGAAAATGCTTGTTGTCCACTTCCGGTGCCTTCAGACAGTGGTTGCAGAGAAGAAGCCAGCGGAAGTACAGACATGATAGGAACTAGAACAGAACACCCTCATTTTTCAATTGATTTGAATGAAGAAAAGATTTTAGTAAACATCTAAGTTTATCTAGCATTCATATGCATATGACCATATTAACAGAATTCCATTAAATTCCAGAATCCCTACTCAAGCCACTTCCAATTGCCAAAGTTCAGGGAATACTAGTAAAGTAAAAATTACTGTGATGGATATGGAATGTCAACTTTTTGATTTAGGTAAACCTTGATATTCAGTCTTAAAAGCATCAAAATTAGCCCTCCCCAGTAACTACCAGATCATGGAAATTAGAGGAAAGACAGTCTGCAAGAAAATGTTATGTCAGCCAGAAGCATAGAGAAAGATATAAGCTGTCCCAAGTATAGGAAGCATGAAGATCCACACTCCTGTATAAAAATGCTCAGCCCTGTAAATGTCCTACTTGTTTCCAATGTAATACATGAATTTAATGCAATTTCATATGATCTTTGTAAGAATACTTACAGAGGATATTAAAAACTAGGTAACATTGAATTTGTCCTACATGATAAAAATAATAGAAAATTGTAAAGGCTTTATTAAAGAGAAGCAGAGGACAGAGTTCGGTTTGCCTTGCCTGGCCTGTTTACATTTCCTTACGCACTAAAACTGTAAATGTGTACCACAAATGTGGGCCAAGGTGAAGGCAGAGATCATGTCAGGAAGATGCCAAGATGGGTCTTTATCTGGAAATAACACACTGAAGGCATCACTTGACCTTAGAATTGCATTTAAAAGGAATCCCAAGGAATACTGAATGATTTGCTATAAATAAAAAATTCTTTAAATAGAGGTAAATATAATCCAATACCAATTAGCATGCAAAAGGATTTTTTAGGCTTTGTTTTCTGTACAGGCTTTTTGAAAAATTCTACTACTCAAGATGTCAACAAATACAATGGGCAGATCGAGAGGGAGAAAT